CCGCCCCCCGGGGCCTGGCACACGGTCAGTGTGGCAGCAAGCCTGGCTACTCTTCTCCCTCCTCCCCCTCAGCCCTGTGGAAACAGGGCAGACCCTGCAAATGGCACTTTACTGCAGGCCAGGCGAGGTTCTCAAGGAGAAAGCTCGCGCTGGCCAGGGGGGCAGCTGCTGGCAGGCTCTGTCCTGTGCCACCTATGCTGTCCCCGGAGCTGGGCCCAGGAGTTATGCCCCTTGGTGCTCTCGGCCCAGCGTCCTGGTTCGCTTGCCACCTCCTTCCAGCCCCCTTCACTCCCAGGGGCTCTGGTCTGTCACACAGAGCGCCTGAGGGCAGGCAGGTGGTGGATATGCTGGAGTCCCCCTCCAGGCCTCCAAGGAGCATGCGCGTTCCCTGCAAGACAGGGGAGGGTCAAAGACCCATCAGGAGAGTGTGGGAAGACCTGGAAGTCCAGGATTCCTTCTGAACATGCTGTTTGGAGCTGCAATTGCTAGGACGACTCCAAAAGTGAGAAATATAGGAATAGGTGTAGATGTAGATGTAGGTGTAGGTGTAGATGTAGGTGTAGATGTTTTATAGAGATTTATTTAAAGGATTTTACACATCTTTGACTTCTGGAAAGTGCTTGTAACTTGCTCTTATCTCATAGCCTCCTTCGCTGCATCCATATCCCCTTGTCCTTTGATTGGCCTCTGCTCTGCGTGTCACATTCATCTTTGTGCCCTAGCACTGGGCTTGGCACTTAGTACATGTTAGATCGCCGAAGGAGGAACGCACAACACCAATTGATTTGATCATCCGCACACCAGGTGGCTGAGCCTGGATGGTTCCAGCCCCAGTGACAGGAGTCAGCGGCTTATAAAGGACTTTTGGCAGGCTTTTTCCTGGGCGGAGACTTCTTTATGCATACCCAGAGGGGAGAGAATGGGATGTGGTCACCGCAAGTGAAATGTGGTCTCAGCAAAGGGACTGTCCATAGTGAAATGACCTGGAAAGCCAGTTCCCGGGGGAGGGGTATCAATTCAATTACTTGATCAAACCTAACAGTAAATGCTTGTGCAGGGGTCCTCAAACTTTTTAAACAGAGGGCCAGTTCACTGTCCCTCAGACCGTTGGAGGGCCGGACTATAGTTTAAAAAGAAACTATGAACAAATTCCTATGCACACTGCACATATCTTATTTTGAAGTAAAAAAACAAAACGGGAACAAATACAATATTTGTATTTGCATGTGGCCCGCGGGCCATAGTTTGAGGACCCCTGTGCTTGTGGAATGAATATCGCCCCCTCAGCACATTGAACTCAGGTTCTAGACCACAGTCAGCCCCAGCATTGCCTGGAGGCAGTTGAAAGTTTCTGCAACATTTGGGTTTTCCTGTAGAAAAAGAAGGATTAGGAACAGTGTCTGGAGTCCATGGAGAGGTCATTGGGAAATGTGTGTTTTTCTGAGATGCAGACAATCTTTGCTAGGATTCAAGAACCCAGTCCCCACGCAGTGCAGGGGACAGTGGCCGGAAGCCCTGTGCTTGGGCTCCAGTCTCCTTCAACCACGGCCTGACTGGGATTGGGGCAACAGCTGTCACGTGGTGGGAATCGGGAAGAATGCTTTTGTAAGTGAACAGTTTTGCTCTTACAGGCCAGTCAGTAACCAGCTTTTAATAAAGAAGAGCTGCACCCTAGCCGGTTTGGCTCCATGGATAGAGCATCGGCCCACGGACGGAGGGGTCACGGGTTCAATTCTGGTGGGTGTGGGAGGCAATGGGTCAATGCATCTCTCACATTGATGTTTCTCTCTCTGTGTCTGTCCCCCTCCCTTTCAATTCCTCTAAAAATCAATGGGGAAAAATATCCTCGGATGAGAATAGGAAAGAAGGAAGGGTGGGAGGGAGAGAGAGAGAGACAGAGATGGGGGGAGGAAGGGAGGGGGG